AAATTTTTAAAAAATATTTAAATTTCAAGCATTGGAGTATATTTTTGATTAATTTGCACGTTGTTTGACTAGTTTCTGATTGAGCGGCACCAAGTTGGGGCTTTAGAGCAAAATTGTGACCGAAAAATGGAACTTCGGAGCGAGGTAAGTCTCATTTATAACCTTGTAAGGGAATTAACCCCATAGGTGAACTAAATTAATATGTGCTTCTATTTGTGGGGGCTACGTACACACGAGGTGACGAGAGTCTGTGCGTAGCTACTATTCATACTTATGTCCGAGTAGTTTTAGGTTACACCATGCCTTGTTGATACCGTTATTTGATTATGTTTATTATTTGCCTTGAAAAGAGTTGAAATTGAAGATTTCTAGACTTAAAAGTTTTCATTTGAGATTTCGTATTTTTGAAAGAATTAAGGAATATTATAATAACTTAAGAAAATCTATGTTCAACGCGTCGCAAATATATTCTGCGAGCAGGGTAAATTTTCACTACTCTCATTGGAGCGGGCCGTTCGCCTTGGCAAGTTAAATAGATGCATCTATGGTTCGTGTTGTTCGACCCTCGGCAATGCACAGTTTATATTTATATGTTGGTTCGTGTCGTTCGACCCTCGGCAGTGCACAGTTTATATTTATATGTTGGATCGGACCATACGACCTCGGCATGACTTGCGCATGATAACTCTTTGGAACTAATAATAATTGACATTGCTTATTGGCTTGAGATATAAACTGTTAAATGATGAAAAATGAATTTTGGAAATTTCTATTAGTAAAAGAATTGTTGATTATTTCCGGTTATTGAATTTTCAGCTATGTTATGTATTCCATGCTTAAATATAATATCGACATTTTATTGTTAGCCCATAGTAAGTGTCGGAGCCGAACTCTCGTCACTACTTCTTCAAGGTTAGACTGGATACTTACTGGGTACACGTTGATTTACGTACTCATACTACACCTGCTGCATATTTTGTGCAGGTACATATATGTCTAGTGGCCTTGTGAGAGCAGAGGCGTGTTTAATGCGGGACTTAGGTGAGCTGGATTCTATATTACGACCCGCAGCCAGCAGAGTCCCCTTCAGAGTATTAATATTTTTTCTGTCCAATTTGTTTTCCGGACAGATGCTGTATTTTACTTTACTTCCTAGTTGATGCTCATGCACTTGTAACACCGGGTTTTGGGGTGATTATGGATTGTTCAGTATTGAAATTGTTAAAATACTATTATTTACTCAGTAAATTCCATCTTTCACAATTAAATTGAAGGAAATCGTGATTTCAAATACTAAAAAGGAGTAATTAAGTTAATTAATTATTGTTGGCTTGCATGACAGCGGTGTTAGGCGTCATCACGGCCTTTAATGAATTTTGGATCGTGACAGTATCCCCTTCTTTTGTTTTAATTTGTATCAACGTGATCATTTAGGTACAATGTATTCTAAAGAGGTCAGCTGCAAAAAGAAAAAGAATTAGCCATGAACAGCTTATGTAGTTACAAAATAAAAATTCATCGCTAATTCTATTTAGCGACGAATTAGCTACACATTATCCAAAGATCCTATAAGCTACAAGATAAATTTCGATCTAATTCTTATTTTTAGTAAATTATGTAATAAATTTTCTTAGAAATATTATTAGTTTCATTTTTACCAAAAAAACAAAGTCTTTTTCATCTATTTAATGAGAATATGCATTAAATTTAAATGATATTTCTAGCTTGATTCTATTTCATTCTTAACAAATGATAATTAAAAAAAATTCACAAATAAATCACGTACTATTTTTTCCAATAATAATTATTATTTTCAAAACCTAGTAATTCACAAATTATTATTTTTTCAAATAATTATTATTATTTCAAAAAAATTCACAAATAAATCACGTACTATTCTCCGTAGCATGTCGTACTTAATTTTAAGAGTAGACAAAAAGCGTTTAACAACCAAGCTTCTAAAGAAATATGATTTAAATTTTAACAAAAGCAAATTGTTCATATGAAAGGAAATAAAGAGATAAAATTCGTCTCATATGATTATATAAGGACAAAGAACAAAAAAAATAACACAAATAGTGAAGTTTCCTTGTTGGAAAAAGAAACTTTCCTCCCAAATTTTTTAATATATTTTTTATTTTCTTAATATTTTGTGTCTTTATTAGGAAAAGATCTCCAACATAAGGTATATTGGAAAGCAACTTATTTGATTTCGAACTCCTAAATATTAAGTTGTTTTATTTTCAATTTTATCCAATATAAAATATGTTTTTAAAGGGTAGAAAAAAGCGAACGACATTTCGTTAAGCGCCTTTGTGCTTTTAATATAATATAGATATAGATATAGATAGATATATATATTAAATTTTACTTAAGGCTTTCTCACTTTTACTACCATATAAATTATATTGGTAATGGCGGTAAGTGATTTTATATTCAAAATTATTTCAGCTTACTTTCAAAAACGCTTTTCAGCCATTGCTTTGTAAGATAAATGTATGAACTTGAGTGATTTTATTGGGACTTCCATTAGGTAATTTTCTCAAAATCGATTGACTATTTGAGAAATTAACTTTATTACTCAGAGCCCACTTGGTTTTACAACAACAAAAACCCAGTGTGGTCCCACAAGTGAGGTTTGGGGAGGGTAGGATGTACGCAGCCTTACCTCTACCCTGGAAGGGCAGAAAGACTGTTTCCGATAGTTGGTTTTGCTAATTATAAATAGTTGATAAGTTTTAAGTGTAAGAAAAGAATTTTTAAGTGTTGAAACTGATTTTATAAATAGCAGCTACGTTTTTTAATAGAAATGCTGAAACTGAAAATAAACAATTAATATATTTGATAAAAAAGTGCTAGTAAGTCTTTCTTTTGCTAAAATAACTAAAATGCTTTTAAAAATTGTACAAAAATATTATAAATTTAAAAGTACCTTTTTAATGAAAATAAGGAACGAAGGATACGAAGTGAAAAGGAAGTTAAGGTTCCGTCTTAGATAAAGTATTTTGATAATTTTAAAAAAGTTAAGGATAAAATAGTAAAATCTTAGTCAAATAAAATATGCAACTTGTGACTTTAGCTGATTTTGACCACTTTAAATATTACTCCCTCCGGTCCAAAATAAGTGATTTTTTAGCTATTTTCACACAGATTAAGAAACTCACCTTTTAACATTAATTAGCAATGAAATTGACCATATTAATCTTTACTATATTTTCACATAAACACTCCTAACACGTACTCCAACACTATTTACTCCAAGGGCAATGTAGGAAAAAAATAATTAATTCATTATTGAATTCTGGAAAAATCACTTATTTTGGACCACAAAAAAAGGCCAAATAATTACTTATTTTGGACCGGAGAAAGTACGTAAATAAGTCAAAAGGTACTCATAAGCGAGTTTTAAATTTACCAAACATCTCTTAGTTTGAATGTATTGAAAATCGAAAGTGCCAAACAAGCACAATCATTTAAATCAGCAGTCACGGAATCAACAAATTGCTCCAAGCAAAAGACAAAAGACCACCTCCAGCCTGGGATTCTTAACAATGTTACTTTTCTGCCTAATAATTCGGCTTATTAAATTGGAATAGGGTCCAATAATCATTGCTTTTTAATTAAAACTATTTAAATACAGAAATTATCGGCTAAAGGATATTAAATACTAGTTAAAGTTAGGGCTGGAATTACCTCTGTATCTTCTAATACAAACTATATACGTACAAGATACTACTAGTATAATAGTCACAACTTGACCTACCTTTAGGAAAAGAAAAGAAAGAATACTGTGGGAAAGAACTTAGTTACTTCACAATAAACGTATACATTTTCGTCCAAATTGTTTATTGAAAAGAAACTGGCATCCCGTAAGCAATTTATATATGGAGTAATAATCTTGGACAAAGATAGCAAGTTTTAAGGTAAATAAAATTGATTATTATAAATTGTATATTTTTGGACCACGAACATGTTATAATTGTGAACTTGAACATGCATGTTACGAACATTTTTACATGCATTGCATTGTAGTTGTTGGGAATGAAGTGAAGTTAAAAAAGAAAAAGGAAGATTGCACCTGCAGAAACATTGCTGCAGAGACTTAGGTCACCGTTATTGTGGACATATCGCATTTCAAACGGATCAATAGAGGGGCGAAATCAGAATTTAAAGTTCATGCATTGTAAACTTATCATCAAACCAAAAATTTATCTTAGTTATAGGGTTTACAATTAGATAAATAAATAAATTTCTTAATACAAATATTTTCCTCGGTTTGAAAAAGATTGACATAGTTTGGAGTACGAGGGTTAAAGTAATAGTGCTATTCTTTTTGAAAATATGAGCAAAAACTACTTGGTCCGCCCAAACCCTGATACATTAGCTTCAGCTAGGGGTAACAAAATGATTAAAAGAAAGCAGTTAACTACCCATATTATCCACTAAAAAATGGGTTGGATAATGAACTTTTTAAAAATGGATCAAATATGGATAAGAACCATATTATCTATTTAGAAAATGAATAACCAATGGGTCTAACTTTTACATTTGTAAAGCCCTCAAGCTAGGGAGACTAAGAATTCTCCCAAAAGTGATCATATGCAAGTAGTCATGGATAATACTTGTTAACCCCTTTTTTATCCGTATTAAAATGGGTAGGATCGAATAATTTATCCATTTTTTCATTACTCGTTTTCGACCCGAACCATATCTAATCTGACCCACACGTTATTTGCCACTCCTAGCTCCAGCCTTGCGGATCAAGAGTGTTAAACAGAAAGCCATCATGGCCGTTGGGTAATTCATGGCGTCGTTAATGGATAGCTTTAGTCATTAGGATAGAAAGGCAGTGAATATATTGTTACTGCACTTGATAAAACTTTATTAGTATGTGCTTTCTTTCGAAAATCGAAATGGTAAAAGTTGTTGATAATAAAATAGAATTCAAAAGGCAAGGAAATGACAACCACATAATATACAGGTATGGAGATTTCTGTAGTTTTCTCTCTGTTCCTTTCTGGGTCATATATATATATATATATATATAGCACTAGCACCCTACAGTAAATTAGTATCCTCCTTCAATGGCTTCCCTAATTTCTCTACCCAAACTCTCTTTCTTTCTTTTACTCATCATAACTTTAGCATTTTTCTCTTCTCCTTCAGCTGCCCAAACTAAATGTAATATCAAATCCGTTTACCAATTCGGCGACTCACTTGCCGATGCCGGTAATGTCATCCGTACACCTGGTGCTAACATCATATTCCGTGCCAACAGAGCTCCTTACGGCCAGACATTTTTTAAGAGACCTACTGGCCGCTTCTCCGACGGCCGTATCATTATCGACTACATTTCCTCTGCTCTTAAACTCTCTTTCCTTAATGCTTACTTGGACAGTAGTAATACTTTTAGTCAAGGCGTCAATTTCGCCGTCGCCGGTGCCACAACGTTGAATTCCTCTTTCTGGGCTGCCCGGAATGTCAGGTTACCCGCCTGGAATACGCCGCTTGCGGCTCAACTAGGTTGGTTCAAATCACACCTGCAGTCTACCTGTGGTTCCAATTGTGCACAAACTCTCAGTAACTCTTTAGTAGTAATGGGGGAATGGGGTGGCAATGACTACTATAATAATTTTTTCCAAAGAAAACAATTACCTGAGGTACGGACTTACGTTCCTTTTGTTGTTGCGGGCATTATGAGAGGCATTAAAGATGTGATTCAGCTTGGGGCAACTCGTATTTTGGTACCAGGATTTTTTCCGTTGGGTTGTCTTCCTCTATACCTTACAACTTTTCCTGATACTAATGCCAATGCTTATGACCAATTAGGTTGCTTGAGAAATTATAATGATTTTGCTTCATACCATCACAGATACCTAAACAGAGGTTTGGATAATTTACGACGCGAATTTCCTAGTGTTAAAATCGTTTATGGGGATTATAATGGGGCGTTTTTGACTCTTCTTCAAAGTGCTTCTTCCTTTGGATTTAATCAAAACACATTGCTAACTGCTTGCTGTGGAACTGGTGGAAGATACAATTTTAATTTCAGTAATGTGTGTGGATCAGCTAGTGTAACAGCTTGTTCTAACCCGGCTCAATACGTGCACTGGGATGGCATTCATTTGACAGATGAAGCTCATCGTCGTATTACAGACATTATCGTCAAGGACATGCTTTCAAGATTAGGGTGTACTGTTTAGTTTATGACTTAATTTCAAGATTCTCTTAGGGGTGCTTTTTCTTGTTTGGTAATAAAGAGTTTCAACATTCTTCTTCATGAAGAGGTGAAATAGAGTATAAGTTAAAGAATGATTGTTGTTGTTTGCAAATAAATAGTTAGAGCCAATGTTCTTATTACGAACTTCTGTTCTTGGAGGGTGAAGCTGGGTGGTTTAAACATCAGGGTGTCCTTTCTGAGGAATGAATGATTCAATATCAAACACTACTTGCAGCTGTTGTTTCTTTCTTTTCTTTTTATAACCAAAAGATCAGCCCTACTGGTTGTAGGTTAGGCACAACCCTAAACCCTCCCCCCACCCACCCACTCTCTCTATATATATTAGTACTCCCCCGTTTCAAATTAAATGAGATAGTTTCACTCGGCACGGAGTTTAAGGAAAAAAAGAAAAAAAACTTTTGAAATTTGTGGTCTTAAAAGCTTAAGGGGTAAAGGTTTGTGGGACCATGACTTTTGTGTGGTTATAAAATCTTTTCATTAAGGGTAAAATGGGTAAAATGAGGAGTTTAAAGTTAAATTATTTCCAAATTTAGAAATGTGTCATTTATTGTGGAACAGACTAAGAAGGAAAGTACATCATTTAATATGAAACGGAGGGAGTATATAATATCAGGAAGTAGTAGTTGGAGGAGGACATCAACCTTAACCTCTAGTTGGAGGAGGACATCAACCTTAACCTCCGTAATAATGCTGATTAGTGTGAGTCATTCTTATATAGGCTTGCATAAAACTATCAATTAATATTTGAGTGGCCCCTCCATTACAAGCTTTGAAAAATGTAGCACAGAGCTCAGCTAATAAAATCATTGACAGTGGAATAGACCTTCCTTGGCCTAAATCTGAAATTTGAGATGCATCATTGATCTTGCTTCATTGTATAGCTCTAACTTGACTAGGCAGTGATAGAGCTTCATTGAAGTCGGATTGTTTTTTTTTTATCTCTTTCACCCAAGTTTGTCAGCCTTCTAATTTGCAAAGTGGTGCTTTTAATCTGCTATGGAGCTCTTACTCTCTTATTGATTGTATTAGTAATAATCAACATAGACTCAAAGACTCCACAATTACATCGAGCTTTCCTTTGTCAATATATAAAATCAGGCTACTTGCAGTTGCTAAATGAAGAGATTATAACACGATGGCAGAGTGGAATATATCGTAGTGTGACATTTAAGTTTGATTTGATTTCATAACTTGTTAGATTCGATAGCTCTTAGGGACAATAACTAGGATGTTGAAGACTATGGATCCTGGTACTTTTGTGAAACTTCACTTACTTGGTTGGAACCATTAGTCAATGAACTAGCTAGCTCTGAATAATGTGAAAAGTTTAGATGTTGATCCATAATAACGAGAGCGCAAAAATAAGTATTCTACCAGGTGTTGGCTGCATCTTACATTTTATCTAACTTTAATTATTCATTTACCAATATTTTAATCTCAAGATCGAAAGCATACTTTAACGCAATTTTTTCACTTTTTTTTATTATTGGGGAAGCGGAACTTTAATGTAACATAAAAAAACACCATCCACTACTCTGCAAACACAAAAGCTCAAAACTATTGAGGGCCCTCAGCTTTAGATTTTAGGGGTCTATCACTTGCATGTGATAGTTGAAATACTCACAAGGTACCAAACGAGAGTTTTTATATGAAGAAATCAGGAAACAGATGCACAGAGTATGGTAAGAATAGCGCAAAATCAGGAAAAATATCTGATGCGAGGGATTCTTAATCATTTGAACGAATAGAACGGAAATGACAATTTTGAGGAAACACGTTTTCTTTTATTCAATAAGTTTATACTAATAATCATGGCTCGAAATTTTCCACGCAGCTACAATGTTGCAAGAAAAGATTGCAAGTCTGCAGGTCATGACGGAACAATATGGTAACGCCTTGTACGATAGCAAAACAGCAAGATAAATCAAGATAAATGCCAAAGGATCAAATTGCATCCTCGCTACTTGAGCTGGTCAAATAGCTTCACCGCAACCTGCATGCAAAAAAAGTTTTTGAGGAAAAATCTACTAAATAAAGTAACAGAAAGGACAGACTAGAGGAGAAAGCAAGCAAAGGGTAACTGCGGGCGTTTGAACCTTTCGCATTCCAATTGCCAACCTGCTCCACCTCCTCCCAACCCCCAAAACCACCGCACCTCAAAAAAGAAAGGAACAAATACTATGAAGTTGAGAACAAGGAGCTTACACATTTGTCAATACACTGCCAATAATCAAAATACTGTCCAGTGCAATGCTTGTGCCCAGATTCATCACCTTCTATCCTTTTAGCACAAGCCTGTAGGATGCCAATTTTCAAATTAGAACGAACTAAGAAAACCCTAGTTTCTATAACTAATGAAGCTAGCTTGCACAATGATTCAGCCAACTGAAAACAGCTAATCTTTGGAGACTCAACATTCCAAGTTCCATGCTCTAACTACTTTAAATGCAAAATTCTAAGTAAACATTAACTGTTCAAATTTGCCCACCTGGCAACATCATACAAACAGGACAGATTCAAAAAGTTAGCATCATATAGCAACAGATCTAACTCTTCAGAATTTAAACGTGTTGCTGCAGATAAAAAAGTATGATCTCATGGATTCAGTATCTCTTTTTTTTTTTGTCGGGTGCTCTCTAAATTCCGCGTCTAGCTTCTCTTAGCCCAAGGTCATATACCCTGCAGTCCTGCTCACCTTCCCCGCCACCATTACTCCTCCCCTTAGTTGGGTGTGGGTATACGATACAGGAGCGAATCCAAAGATCCAGTACTTCATGATCTAAATTTTAAGATTCGGGGATATGGATAAGAGTGCCGGAATTTGGCTATATCTAAAAATAGAGCTATAAAAAATATGCCTATATTATGAGACATTATGCGAAAAACTTACATGTGGCTTGTAAAAGCGGTAACTTAATCTTCTATTCTTAACTTATAGGTAGCCACCTAGAGATCACAGTAGCTTAGCTTTTGTCTTAAGAAATCAAAATGCCAAATCTTATCTCTAATTTCTCCGTAGTTTGTGGTCAAAGTACCCAAAGTTGATTGACCAGATCCGGTTCGTACCCCACACCCATACTAGTGTCTACGTCGTATCGACACGGGTACAGCTGCACCACAAATGAAGAGTCCACACAATTTAGCCCCCCCCCCCCCCCCAAAAAAATTCCAAAACAATGGGGGAAACCGTAAAAATGTTTCAAGCCCTTGGGGTGTTTCTCCGTACCTAGGACAGGACTTGTTTCTACTTTTTCCTTCGGTAACTACTTCCTCCTTTCCAAAACCTTCTCTTTGCCCATTGCAAGGTAACGGTCAGCTGAGTAAACAGTTTTGCTGCCAGTCTTTCAACGAGACTAGGAATAGGGGAACATAAAAGTCATAGTAAGATAGCAGTCGGTCTTCATTTGAAAGCTTTAACTATAAGCTTAATCTAGAAAGAGGTTCAAGCACAGGACAATGGCATGAAATAAGGGAGGTAGAAAGGCACTGTAGCCTTTCAAGCAGGCCAGGAACATAGGAGCTAGAAGACAGATGATTAGCTGTTGGTCTTCATTTGAAAGCCTTACCTGTAAGCTTGGTCTAGAAGATCCAGTCTAGCTATAGATTGAAGAAGAAGGAAGTTCATGAGGCCCTAAAGGAATAACAAATCAAGTCTTGATTATTGTTAATCACTAGTTCAAATTTACTTAATACAGCCAGCACAAAGAGGCCCTAAGGAATAACAAATATCTCCAAAAATTAAATAAGCACAAACGAGGCCACTGAAAGACAAATTCTTTTTTCATTGTAATGGGAATCACCTGATATTCCCTAAGTTGCCTTACACACTTCGGCTTGCAAGTCTCTTCTAGTGTCTTCTTTTGGTCAACGACTTCCTCGTCCGACCTGAACAAACAAAAGTATTAGCAACATACTTCCTAAGGCATAAAAAGAGCTGCTGGAGCTCATAAAAGAAAAAAAAATACGTCAGGTATATCAAAAAAACATCGAGTGAGTGATGCATAGTTTTTAAAAAAATAACAGACATACAGATACAACTTCAGAATTGGCATTGAGGAATTGTGAACTAACTAAAATTCACACTTTAGCTCATTAGACAAGAACACAATAATTCAACAAACAAACTGAAAATATGGAATAGCTCCAAAGCCCGGATCCGTCCACTTTTATCTCCTTCCTAGAACCACCATTGAACACCACCATTGCAGAACCTTCAACACCATCCATCACTAGACACAAGCATGGAAAAGAACACGTCACACAAACTGAACACCATCATCTCCTTTGTTTGATTGTGGAAAGAAAATTGTCCTTTTTCTATTTATTTTTTTGTCATTAGTTTGGCATTTCTTTGTATTCTCTACTGAAATATTTAAGTAGGTTCTCTTTTCTGGTTATAGTTGAACTTTTACCTATTAGGCAATCTTTTCTTGGATTTCTAAAACTGGTGTTGGGGTTCTATTTTTTCCGAGAGTTAGTGGATCCTTTGCAAATTATTTGTCTGAGCTAACTAGCTGAGAAAGGGGCTGAATGAACTTTAGAATGAAGGTTGTTGCTTGGCAGTGAAAGCTGTTTACTGTTTACTGGTGGTGGTGGAAGTGGTGGTGAACGATAAGAGCAGTGTTGTAAATAGCGCTCGCTACGTTGCTAATAGCGAGTAGCGACGCGAAGCGAGGCTCAGACGCTTTTTTGGTTGTGTTGCGATGCGTTTTGAAAAGGCACCGACGAGGCGAAGTAGCGCCGGCGAGGCAACGAGGCGAGGTAGCGACAGAGGCGTCGCTTTTTAAAAAAAAAAAAAGAAAAAAGAAGACTTAAATAAAATTTAGGGTTTTCTTCGACTTACAGGTACGTCTTTCTTCTTTATTTTCTCTTTCTTTTTCCGGCAGTAAGCCTCTGTTTTTCCGGCAGTAAGCCTCCCTTCTTTCTTCTTTCTTTTCTCTTTCTTTTTTCCGGCAGTAAGCCACTGTTTTTCTTGCGTCTTTTCTGGCAGTAAACCTCTCTTCTTTCTTCTTTCTTTTCTTTTTCTTTTTCAGGTAGTAAGTCTTCTTTATTCTTCTTCTTCTTCTTTCCGGCAACAACTGATTTCCAGTAGAAATATTCTTTCTTCCTTTTCTTTCACCTCTGTTTTCACTTCTGCTCTTCTTTCTTCTTCTGTTTTCGCTTCTGATTTTTTTTCAAGTTTAGTAAACAATTACTTGCATATTAACTTCTCTCTATAATGACAATTACAATTAACTGTTGTTTTCTCTCTTTAACTACAATTAATTTCTCTCTATAAACAATTTATTAAAATATTTGATTTCTATCTATTGAGTTTTTGAATTGATATATTTATTAATATGCTGTTGTTATTGAGTTTTTAGTTATTTATATATGCAAATTTAATATTTTATTTTTTGTATTAATTGGCGCTTCACATCGAAAAGGCGAGCGCTACGCTTCTCGCTTCTCGCTTCTCGCCTCAGTGAAGCGGGCCCTCATCGCTTTTTGTCGCCTCACGCTATTCAAAACAGTGGATAAGAGAAAAGAATGAAAGAGAAAAAAGAAAAGAAAAAGAAAGAAAAGGAAAATAAAAAATTAAGACAAATATATTTTAATGAAAGATATGGAAGAAAATCTGATTTTGGCTGAAAGGGGCTTCCCACATGCTTTTGGGAAGTGCAAAATAATGCCTATGCCAAGTGGGGCCGAGTAAGGTTCAAATGAGTTCAGAGGAGTGCTAGGAACACCACCCCCCATAGTTTAAACTTGTAACCGTAAAAAGAGGACTATTTTGGAGGTATTTATATATTATATATATATCTACCTAATAAGAGCCCGTTTGGATTAGCTGATTTGAAGTAGCTGACAAGCATTAGGTGCTGAAAAGCACTTTTAAGTGCTGAAACTGATTTAATAGATAAGCAGTTATGTGTTTGGATACAAGTGCTGAAATTGATAATAAGCTGCTGCAATATTTGATAAAAAAGTGCTGATAAGCTCTTTTTCTGTTAAAATGACTTAAATAACCTTAGCACTGTTTACACCTATAAGGGCGTAATTTCTTCAATATTTTAGATTCCAAATCGATTCAAATACAAAATATTCTATTTTTTATTTTATTTTAAATATAAATGTGCTTAGATAAGATAACTTCTATGATAAATATAATTTAGTTTAGGATAAGCATATAATCATAAGTTATAATAATTAATAAATTGACAAAAGTTTCTCAGTAAAAAATAAACCTAAATAGGAGAAAATATTTGAAGACAAACAAACATTGTCTTCATCACCACAACACTTAGAAAGCAATACACCAAAAATTTAATATGTCCTCATTTATTACATACAGTTCAAAGATTAATACACAATCACATAGATACAAATATGCAAAGGAATAGAGAATTTGCTTATCTTAAATAGTCAATGAGAATAGCAGACTTGAAGAGATGGGGGGATTGGGGGGGGGGGGGGGGGGGGGGGGGAGGTTAAAAAATTGATAATAAGCTGCTGCAATATTTGATAAAAAAGTGCTGATAGCTTTTTTCTGTTAAAAGAATTAAATAACCTTAGAACTGTTTACACCTATAAGGGCGTAATTTCTTCAAAATTTTAGATTCCAGATCGATTCAAATACAAAATATTCTATTTTTCATTTTATTTTAAATACAAATGTGCTTAGATAAGATAACTTCTATGATAAATATAATTTAGTTTATGATAAGCATATAATCATAAGTTATAATAATTAATAAATTGACAAAAGTTTCTCAGTAAAAAATAAACCTAAATAGGACAAAATATTTGAAGAGAAACAAACATTGTCTTCATCACCACAACACTTAGAAAGCAATACACCAAAAATTTAATATGTCCTCATTTATTACATACAGTTCAAAGATTAATACACAATCACATAGATACAAATATGCAAAGGAATAGAGATTTGCTTATCTTAAATAGTCAATGAGAAATAGCAGACTTGAAGAGGGGGATTGGGGGGGGGGGGGGGAGGTTAAAACAATACTTAAGGCAGTGAGTATCGATGTAAGAGTTCTGTTCCAAAAAAAAAATATTTTAAGGATAAAATAGTAAAAATCTTGGTCAAACTTAAAGTGCTTATAAGCTAAAAATTCATAAGCTGGGGTGACCAGCTTATGGCTTTTGGCTTATTTTTGACTTATAAGCACTTTTAACTTTACCAAACGCGTAGATAAGCCGAAAAGTGCTTATAAGCTAGTTTGACCAGCTTATAAGCTTAGCCAAACACCCTCTAAATACTATGAACAACTTCAGCAGGTTTTGTGTGGAAGATGAACGCCATTGTGTCCCATTAGTCCACAAGGTGCGAAACTTAGGTAGACCGCCAATACACTAGTCATACAACATCTTGCTAATGGTGTGGCTTCTAAATACTTTTGTGAAGGCTTAATAACAAAAGCATCAGCTTATCATGTTCTTCCCTAGCTACGATGAATGAGCCACCCGCTCCAAATGAAAAAAAAGAACCAACATGCATATAAGGAATTCTGAGGTAAAAGGTAAAGGGTTATAAAACGCATATAAGGAAGTCTTAGGAAAAAGGTAAAGGGTTATAAAATGCAAAACCTGTGCATCATAATATGCTCATAAAAATGAACATATGATTTCCTTTTTGTTTTTTATATTTTATTTTGTACTGCTGGTGTTCGAACCACCTCGTGTGCACCACGACTATTCCACCAAGTACCTGTTACTGTTACCTTCTACTTGAACAAGTACCGAGAAATTCTATCTACAAGGGCTTGGGCAAATGAAAAATCACCTAATATTTTTTTGTCTCTACCGGGTAACTCTGGCTACCAAGACTGCAGATGGAAAATCACCTAATTTTTTTGTCCCCGCTGGGTTACAAATTTGAACTCGAAGATCTCATGATTTTCAATCACTTCACTAACCACTAGGTCACACTCTTGGGTGTCAAGAAATTTACACTTTATACCAATAAAATTAAAAAGGGATGTTTTTTATACTCTCTCATTGAGCCGAGACTCCCAAAATATTTACTCTCTCCGTACAATTTTATATAGAACTACAACTAGTATGAGAATCAACTAGTTTTTCTTTGATTACGATATTTACCTGCATATTTCAAATACTTATCGAATGGTTTGAACCTCACAAGTCAACCCCACCATTCTTTTCAAATCACACAAACAAATTCACATAATACTTAAAAATAGGAGCTATATTCCTAACTTTTTCTTTCTAGCATCTTATTGCTTATCCTTCTAATTGCTAATGCATCCACCACTACTTAGGAAGTGCCTATTGAATGTTAAATATATGGGATATGGGCAACCCATAACTCAACAACAGTAATAGTACGCAAGAGATACAATCAACATTCTCCATGTGCCATCACACAAATAACACCAATTAACTATAATACGGCTTTCCCTTCGTAGCTAATCAGTCAGCTACGAATATGACATATGACATAGCACACGAAGTGAAGAAGGCAATTCTTCTGGGCGCCTTTGACTTCCATTATGACTTGCAAAATGTTTTGATCCACTCCACTAATCAATTTAGATGCCTAGAGTACCGAAATAAGATATGTTTCTTCGCGTAGTAGGTACGGGAGGGAGGGGGAGCGATAAAGCCCAGTGGAATTTTTCTCTCCTAAAAGAGGCATTAGGCAAGGAGATCCCCTATCTTCCTTTCTCTTCATTCTGGCTAGGGGTGTTCATGGTTCGGTTTGGATCGGTTTTTCCCTTAGAAGAAACCAAACCAAGTAAGTCGGTTTTTCAAATATTAGAACCAAACCAAACCAATTAACTTTTTCTTGATTCGGTTTATGTCGGTTTTTTCGGTTATTTGTCTGTTTTTTTTCTTAAATATAAGATATACACTACCAAACACATATTCCTGCGACCACATTTTCAATGTAACACTATCAAATCAATTGCCATTTGATAAATTTAATATTTACCAAGATATATTGATGATAATTGAATCAAATAGTGATGAATAATTTAAGGACTCAATTAAAAATATGTTATTTTTAACACGAAATGGATTCTTACACTAAACAAAAGAAACTACCAATCAAACTAGAATGTAAAGGTAAAGAACTATATTAAAAGTGCAAACTATTAACATTTATCATAATTTTTTTAAAACTTTGTATAACAATATACATATATATAGGTGTAATAATAAATTTGAAATAGCTACTACTATGGTCGGTTTGGTTCGATTTTTTTTCTAATTAAAATCAAAACCAAACCAAATTTGATCGATTTTTAAAATTCAAAACCAAAACCAAACCAAACCAAAAAGCATCGGTTTTTTTGGTCGGTTTGGTTTGGTTCGATTTTTTTGATTTTTATGAACACCCCTAATTCTGGCTATGGAGGGACTCGGTAAAATGATGGAGAAGGCCAAGTAATTGCAATGGTTAAAAGGTGTTGAAGTGGGCAACAACTCAGGATCATCAATCTTTGTATCCCACCTCTCATTTGCCGATGACACCCTTATTTATTTTCTGTGGTGCAAAAAAAACTAAGTGCAATATCTCAATCTCATCCTGATGCTTTTTGAATCTATTTCAGGCTTCAACATAAACATGTCCAAGAGTATCATTTATCCCGTTAATGTAGTCCTTGGAGGAGCTGGCTGACTATTAGTTGTTTTGCACTACGACGTACGGTACTTTCCCTTTACCTTACG